ATAAGTAAATTAGTCTTATGTCCTAATGTAAGGTATAGTACCTGTTGCAAAGGGTAGAGTGAAATCCAGAAATTCTTCTTTTTCCACTTCGAAAAAACCGGCCAAGTGTCCCGTTTCACCCTTTGGGTAGGGAACCCCATAAGCCACAGGATCCAAACGCAAACGCCTGACAAAAGTCTATGGCGACTTTGGTAAAAAGTTCAAAAACAAAACGCCACTGCCTATAAAATTGATTTTCATAATTTTTAGTTTCATTTATACGTCTAATGAAACAAAAATTACGTCACTTATAGAAGTTTCATTTTTTAACCATGTAGGTACGTCTCCTTATTTTTTTCTTACGAAGCGGAAAGTCTTATTTATCTATCCCTAGGATGAAACCCAATGATTTTTTAATAAAGCTGACGCATGTCCACACCGCGCGGATAAAAATTGAGTGTGACAGATGATATAGAACGCATGTACGGAAAGAGACGGCAGTCTATAGAATTGCAATCTAATTACACCAATTGGCGTAATTTGGGTGCCCCAGTTTCGGTGCGTTAGTGTCATATCTCCCTCGTATTTTTACATACAACATCATTGGTGAAACTGATCTAAAATCAAAATGTCAGTGTTAGTGAAACGTGTGCGTCGTTTTCCTTTTTTAGCCGACTCCAAAAAAGGAGGTTCTTAATTGTGTGTTTTATATTTGTCACCTCAGAATTACGTCAGTTGATTTTAAAAATTCTGGATGATTTGAAATTTCTTTTTGCTTCCGGTTCGGTTTGGCCCCCAAGTAGTTTAGTTTCGATATTCAAAATCAAATAGAAATCTAATTGTGAGTTATAATGTTACATCGTTAATTAAGGTGTCCATTATTTTAGATACTCTTGCAAGTATCGACTGAAACTTTGTGATTCTCTACTCTATGGTGTTACTCTAGCACTGCTTATTGATTTGTTTATATTTTATATTAATTAATTTCGGAAACAGGCATACTGTTGGTTGAACAACGGAGTTTTACAAACACCAGTTATTTTTCCTCTAATTGGAAAATCATAAATGAATAGAAAATCGGCCCAGTGCGAGTTGTATTCGCGCACGAATGGTTCAGTACCATTATCTATAAAACCGGCAATAATCATTTCTGTTGTGTGGGAGCTCCATCTAAATATTTTTTTAACTTTAATTAACTAACTTGGTATTATAGGTGAATGAAGTTGTCTGCTTTGCAACCAACCATTGACATTATATACAAATACAAAATACGAAAGTGAAGCAATCGAATTACGCCAATTGGGGTAATTAGATTGCAATTCTATGGACTTACTAGATGGAGCCGTGATAGCTCAGTGTCAGAGCAACCTGAGTTCGATCCCCGGTGCGCGAACCAATGAAATTGATTAATTTTAAGTGTTTAATTATCACGTCCTCAGCGGTGAAGGAAAACACATCCGACAGGATCTGACATATTTTCGAAATAATAACAAAAAGATATATATTTATGAAATTTGTGAAGTCCGCCAACCCGCAGTGAGGTCGCGTGGTGGACTGTGCCCTGATATCCTCTTTACAGAGAAGGCCTTTGCCCAGCAGTGGGACATTTATAGGCTGTTACTTTTTCTATGGACTGCTATCTCTTTTTACATCATATATTTATATATTCATATCAAGTTATGTAAAGCGGTACAATCTTTATACGCCGTACAGTATGGACATGCGTCATCTTGGGGTAAAGGTGCATATAGGCGGCACAGGTCTTTTTTGATCGACTTCAAAAGAAGGAGGTTCTGAATTCGACTGTCTTTTTTTATGTTTGTTACCTCAGAACTTCTACTGAGTGAAGCGATTTTGATGAGTCTTTTTTTATTTGCTTCCCATGTTGTCCCATATTATTATTATTATTTTTTTTTTATGTGAAAAGTTGCCAAACGAGCAGACGGTCCACCTGATGTTAAGTGAATACCGCCGCCCATAGACATCTGCTACACCCGAGGGTTTGCAGATGCGTTGACAACCTTTTTGGAAATTGGGCTCCGGCTACCTCACTCACCAGACGAAACACGAAAGTATTTGTCATACTTCCACTTTACGCCGGTCTTCTGTGAGGTCGTGGTACTTACCCGGACGAGCCTGCCCATTCGTGCAACAGCCGAGGGTGCTGCGTGGCTCTACCACCCTTAGAAATTAATTTCATCGGCATTGGATCTCGGGTTCCGGAGATACTTAGGAAAATCAATTATAAAATGAACACCGAGCGAGGTATTTGAAGTCGGTTGTGTTTTTCGTTAGTTAAAAATAATGGTTATTTATCTCTTATAAATATTTTTAAAAGATAAATAAACGTATCCATAATTAGTAAAAATTTATGATATTGTCTACTTATCATAATTTTTTTTCCATTAGCGCCTGTTGTTTTTCGACCTAACAAAATTTTTCTTCGTTAGAGAAAAATCACTAATGAAATAATCAACAAGCAGAATTCTCTGGTCGCTTAGTCTTCGAGAAAAAAATATTAAAAACTTGTTATTTTCACTAAGGAAGTCCGCCATTTTACTAATTTGACTTCAAAAACCCAATACAGAGTACTGCCATCATGATAAATATAGGGAGCGGGCTACGTCGTATTTAAAAAAAATGTAAAATATTTCATCGGTATTCGATTATCGGTATTCAAAATTCAAAAATATCAACTTGTTATTTTCTCTTCGACAGTCCGCCATTTTATTAATTTGACTCCAAAATTAATGTGATTTTTATGATTACACAGTACGTACTGCCAACATGATAAATATAGGAAGCGAGTGACGTCATACTCGTATCGATTGTAAAATTGATTAAATTTTTTAAAAAATAATGAGTCACAGATCCGACACAGAGCACCCCAAGTTTATGTGGTCTTGTGGTCCCTACCTCCAGAACCTCGCGTCAGAGTGTAGATCGAGGGGGTGAAGCGTACAAATATTATTGTGTCTCGATAAATTTTAGCTTAATAAAAATTTTGGTAATTCTATTTTCATTATCAAAAATATTTTTCTGACTTGAATCCCAGATTCAGAGAAGAACAATTTTTAAGAATGTTAGGTATAGTTCGCTCGCTAACCTTCTGTCTACTATGAAGATGTCAGCTCTTAATCGATTATGGTTCGATTACCACCGAGCGATTTGATATAAAGAAAAACATCCCTACACGTCTACAAATAAAAAATGGAGTCATATTTTATTATTACAATAATCTAAAGTACTTTTAAAACCTAAAAAATACTCGGGATAGGAAGCACTTTATTTTTAGACCCAAACTGAATGTAAAAATGTAACTTAAATTATGAAATATATCATTGTCTAACACAACCATGGCCCACGTTTGATAAATCTCCTTTAATAATGAAATAACAATTTTTGAATATTTCATTTCTATTTCTTTTACATAAAACAATAAATTAAAATCTATGAAAGGTAAATATTTCGTATGTAAGAAGAAAAAAAATTAACGTTATAAAAAAATAAACGTAATTTTCATAAATAAATTAAAAATAAATTGAATTCTAATCTAGATAAGACAAGGACTATCTTGATATAAAAAATGTGCCATTACGAAAAAACCTACCACGGAAGAAAAAATAAGACAAAATTTCAGATTGCAATTACTATAATTTCACTTCCTAATACACAGTCTACCGATCACAATGATTACCTATTTCGCTAATTACTTAATTAGAAGAATAATACATAATAATAATTATTATTAATATATATAAAACCTAAAAATTTTGGAACAGCATTTTCAAATTTTTGACAGGCACGTCATTTTGACATAAATTCATCGACAGTAATATATTTTTTTAATGCCATAATCCAATCACATGTTCGATGACACAAGTTCTATATAACGTTAATGTACACTTAGAAATATTTCAACATCATAATTTTCTTTATTAAAAAGATCAAAACAGGGTTTATAAAACGTCGATTAAAAAAACCAAAGACAATACGCTATCTGCTTATACTTGTTCTTAAATTAATAATATTTTTTGGAATTCATATGTTTATCTTATTATTTGGAATTTTATTTTAGATACATACATTTAAGTTATACAAAGAAACTTATTTCATAAAAACCTGGTGTTCACATATTAAAATTGTCATATTTACATACATGCGCGTTGTCGGCAAGACCGCGGATGATATGGTTACAAAATATGATTTAGCAAATTTCCATAAATGCTTTATAAATGCTTTCGTTATCTTTTGTATAATTTGATGATCATGATTTATATATATTTTTCATGTTATCTAAAGATGTAAATTAATTTTTAATCTTACGACTAAATACATGTTGCAAATTTAAAAAAAAAAAGATAATTTTAATACAAATTTTAAGTCTCCTTTACAATTTAATTAAAAAGTATGTCTTTAGTATGAAGATCAGAAAATCTGAACGCAGAACAAATTTTTGTTACCATCTTTATGGATTTGTCTAATTTGTTGAGAATATGGACTTGCATGCCAGCATGCACCCGAAAGAAGAAAAAAAAAGGAAAAAAGACTAAAACTAATAAAAATATATCGATATCCACTAAACAATATGCAGTCGTTTCAATTTTATAAATAACCGTTAATCATTATACCCTATTCCAGCACTCTTCTCGGACCGGGATGATGCAGACAGCGCATAAACTAGAGAAAGTCAATTATTTCGACAATAAATAATGTTTGAGCGAGTCTATGCGGTCACGCGGTTCTATAATCTATGCCCAATTAATAGGAAAACAAAAAAATACTTCTCGTTGTCTGCGATGAGCTTTAACAAATTACGAGATATAACAACAATAAACATTCCGTTAAGTGTTGATAAGAAATTTGTCACACACAATGTGAACGGCGTCAGATATGAATGTGTAGCGTTATATAATCTGTGCGTCCAGCGATGTATAATCTGTGGAACGGAGGGTGAACGCCGCACCGCTCACCGCGCGACCGCCCTGATTTATCTAATGCAATAAATACGTTGAGTTTCAATGCTTCCTCGGCAGCAGGTACAGGCTGAAGGTGTCTTTCGGGAGGGCGACGCACGCGGGCTTCTGTCTCAGCTGCTCCAGGTCTTCCGCGGCCACCTCGAACTCTTGCACGATGTTGGCGAACATCACGAAGCTCATCGTGGTGACGAGGGTCTGCCCTATGCACGTGCGCTTGCCGATGCTGAACGGCAGGAAGTGGGGTATGTTCCTCCTCACGGCTGCCTCCTCGCCCCTCTCGGCGGGGCCACGCTCGCCGTCGGACTCCATCCCCGAGTCGCACTGCGAGTTGCGCCGCACGCGAGCCCTGCTCTTCTCCAGGAACCTGCTGGGGTCGAACTTCTCCGGCCGCTCCCAGTACTTCTCGGATTTGTTCAGCTCGTAGTTGTTTATGAAGACGACGGTGCCTTTCTCCACTCCGTATCCCCCCACCGCCGCGTTCTCGGTGGCCACGTGCGGCACTATGGGCGACGACGCGTGCCGCAGGCACTCCAGGATGGTCGCTTCCGTGTAGGGGAGTAGGGGTCGGTCCGCCAGGGTCACCGCCCTCTTGCCCTTTGTGAGGCCGTCGATTTCGGCTCTCAAGCGCCTCCCCACCTCCGGGTCCCGCGCTATCGCCGCCAGACACAGCATCACCAAGTTCCCGATGGACGAGTGGCCGCCCAGGAAGTCCTCCAGCATGAATATGATCGTGCTCCTGTCCACGGTCGGGTCATCGTGCAGCACCCTCAGCAGCCCGTCCAGGAAGTCCCTCTCGGGCCCCTCCGTCTCGAGGTTCGTCTCGCGCTGCTCCACGATCCTGGACAGTATGAAGGCCCGTATCTCCTGCGACCAGTTGGACAGCTTCTCCATGTGGCCGCGGTAGAACGGCGCCAGCCACGGCATGAAGTCGACCGCGTACCCCTGGTTTATCTCCCAGAAGATCTCGTCGAAGGTGTCCACGATCCTCTTGAACTCCGCGTCGTGCTCCGTGTCGAAGCGCACGTTGCACATGTAGTGCGTAAACATGTTCATCGCGGTCATCATCAGGTGCGGCTTCAGGTTGACGCTGGCGGTGGAGGACCTGGTGATGCCCTTCAGGGTGTCTATCAGCTCGACGGCTTCGAATGTGGCCACGGTGCCGATGCGCGCGAAGCTGTCCGTATGCTGCTTGGGCCCGCAGTGGCGCCTCGCCAGGTTGCGCCGCCGCAGCTGTAGGTTCGACCAGTCGCAGAGCGCCAACGCTGCAGACAAATAGGTGGGGTCAGTTAGTAGGTAATCATCATCATCATTTCAGCCTATTTGAGTCCGCAGAACATAGGCCTCCCCCACGGACTGCCACGACACACGACTCAGAGCCACCTGCATCCATCGGCTTCAAGGTTAGTTAGTTGGTAATAGGGTAAGTTAGCCGAGCAGCTTAAATAGGTCACTAGTACAGCATAGTCATATAAAGCCAAGACTCCACAGGGCAGATTCGACGAGAAAAGTCAACCTTGGGTAAATAGTTTTAGATTCAAAGAAGCAGTTATAGTCGAGACATTAGACCATGTTTTCTTCAGCTTAGAGTTGCTGGGTTAGGGGTATTACTGAATACTGTTCAGTCGACATATTTAAGCCAGGAGACTGTGCGATGCGAGATTTTGATCTCTTATGGAGAAGTGTTAGTTCCAGTAAAATTTCATATCCTCGAACAACCAGAGCTTGATCCCCGGTGCCGGCACCATTGAACTTGCATATTTTTGAAATAATAAAAAAAATATTTCGAAGACATGTATTACCCTACCCTAATACCCTCTGCACAAAGGAGGCCTTTCTTGGATTGGCGGACTTCAAATACCTTCGATATGTTTTTCTTTTCATTAATATTTATACGGTTATATGCAGGCTTACTCAAGACGTTTTACTCCACCGTTTAGCACGTGATAGGTCAGCACTTAAAATTGCAATCGACAATTTCATTCAGCACTGGTATATCGAGTACATGAGTGAATTAAAAATGGGGCCACAGACAGTCGCGGATCGCTCATGACCAACGCCCGGCTTCTGGAGCACTTATCATCGTAGAAGTAAACTAATCAGCCGTCAAGGATTGTTAAATTCTTTGAACTGATCACTCTGACCATTAAGAAGATTATTCCGATCAATTCGGGGAGTTTAACCATACTTTTGTCAACTCAAATGACATTTGAAAAGTCATTTGACAGTTGATTAGTTGACTTCTACGATGTTCAATGTTCCAGAAACCGGGCGTTAGACACTAGAAAAACACTAACATCACGTAACATTGTCTCAGTTTGGTCCCAGTAATGGGGATCGAATTACCACCCACTACTTCAATTGCTAGTGAGCGCGTTGGAATGTGTAGTGTTCGTAGTGATCAGATATTTTTTTTTTTCAATTTATTTTGTCACCAACAATCAATATTACAACATTGCGACAGTACGATTTAAAAGAATTGAGATTTTAAAATAAATGGACAAGGAGTGCCCTTGTAAATATAATTAAAATAGAATAATAATATAATATTAGAGAAATATATAATTAAAGAAAAAAAGTATGGACTTTTTTTTCTTTAATTTTTTATGAACGTACTTCTTTAGAGTTATAACATTAAATGCAATTGATATGTAACGGTTTATTTAAATAATTGGAATTATTTGTAAATGTCAAAAAGTTGTTATTGATAGCCATGATTAAATTGCATCATGTCGATGTTCGCGCGATCATAATTTTTCCAAACTGGCGCGTTTGAGAAGAAAAGTATTACTTTAAAAACAGCATCATAAAACAAAGAACACAAAAAAAATCATTACTGTAGTAACAGTAAGTTAACCTTGTATAAACACATATTTTGTTATAACTTGCTTTTAAAAAGCTTGGAAGAAGCTTTCTTCTTTTCAACGTTGGCAACATTGTTTACACGCACCAATATGGCCGCGCAAAAAGCGCTCCGGCCGACTAACTCCGTGTGTTACGTAACAACAGATGGTGCAGATAAAAAACCGGCCAAGGGCGAGTCGCGCTCGCGCACTAATGGTTCCGTACCATTATCTATAAAGACGGCAAAAAAATCAATGGGTGGCATCTTAAATATTTTTATCCTGTTTTTTAGTACTTCTTGCTATAGCGGCAACAGAAATACATCGTCTGTGAATTTCAACTGTCTAACTATCACGGTTTATGAGATATATCCTGGTGACAGACGGACGGACAGACAGACAGACAGCGAAGCCGTAGTAATAGTGTCCCGTTTTACCCTTTGGGTGCGGAACCCTAAAAATTGCGTTGCAAATCAGAGATGCGCGGGACAATCAGTGCGTGAAGGGACAAAAAGTCACGCCCGAGGCTGGATCTATCTCTAAGATTCTTTGCGAGCGCAAAATGTTATTACGCGGTTGATACATCCCGACCAGGTATATAGACGGAGAGAATTTAATGACGATCCATTTGGCGGAATAAGTAGTGACCCTGACTTGAGAGACGGTGTGGGTTCGAGCCCCGCTATTGCAGAAATATTGTGCGATGAACATATTGTTTTTCTAGTGGGTTTCCGGGTGTATATAATATATGTTTATATATGTACAAAATGAAAGGTACGTTTGAGTATGTTTATCAGTTACCTAGTACCCATAATGCTTTGCTTAGTTTTGTTAGTCCGAAACTAACGTTGCGTGAATATATGTCCCGTAATACTAAAATAAAAGTGACTTTTAGAAAATACATGCACTTGAAACACAGTTTAACAAGCATGAATACAACTTCATAAGTAATAATTACAAAGGGAAGTGGAATTAGACATTAATATGAAAAAGAAAAACAATAATCGCCGAGTTTCTTTTGCCGGTTCTTCTCAGGCTTTTCTTTTCCGAACGTAACATTATTTTGGGAATCAATAAGTTTAATGATTTAATCACTACATAGTATAAAACAAACTCGTCCCGCTGTTTCTCTGTCCCTATGTATGCTTAGATCTTTAAAACTACGCAACGGATCTTGATGCGGTTTATTTTTATTAGATGGAGGGCTTCGGGAGGAAGGTTTATATATATAATACATTGCACACGTGCGAAGCCGGGGCGGGTCGCTAGTATCGAATGAAGATAAAAATTCGCTTTACTAAGTTGAAACGATGCATAAAGATGACTCTCCGATGGCAAAACCTACTCGTATACAAATCGTGCAGACGACACGCTTGATCGGATTGAGATGTAAGCTAGCGTACGCCCCCGGCGTTTCTTGTTTTTACACCCCTTTAATTGCTTAGAAATGTGTCCAAAGTATTGGAGGGTGTTTTAATTCCTTTTACATTAGAAGCATAAGTCAGACATAAAGAATGTATAGAAGTATTGGAACATAAGTAAAGTACTAAACAAAAGTTAAGTGCCCATAAAATAGAAATATATCTGATTATGATCCAGCGTTGATGGACATTTCATTTTAATGCAAGTAAGATACACCTCTTTGTATATTAAATAATATGTACATATTCCCATTAAATCTTAGGTCGAACACCAACATTATATACATGCAGTTGTTCAAGCAAGCAACTTTCTTGTTGTCAAGTCGAACTTAATCAAGCAAACCGTTCATTTGTATGTACACTGATGAAGTAATACTTGAGTTCATATTTATGCCGTAACCTAACATCGTGCTGAGTTAAAAATCCTCTTTTAAGTAGTTAATTAAGTTATACTTATCTAATTAGACAGAAAGTTTTCGTATCTTTTTTATGCTAAAGAGGGAATATTGTTTGGTCGCAAATGTATAATGAGATATATGTGTAGGTTCTGTAGAATATTTTATTTAAAATTTTTATATAAAAACATTTTTATTGTAAAAATATTAAGGTATTATATTAAAATAAAAGTAAAGCCTCCTCTGTACATAGGGTATCAGGGCATAGTCCACCACGCAACCACTGCGGATTGGCGGACTTCACATATCATCGATTTTTTTTGTTATTATTTCAAAAATATGCAGGTTTCCTCACGATGTTTTCCTTCACCGCGGAGCACGTGATAAGTCAGCACTTAAAGTTAAAAACTTCATTGGTGCCGGCACCGGGGATCGAACTCAGGTGGCCCGAGTATATTGAATTAAAGGCAAGCGCCCAGACACTGAGCTATGACGGCTCAATTATATTAAAATATTAATTATATTATTTTATTATGTTTATAATAATTTTATTGGAAATATTTTTCGTTGTATCAAATATGAAATTATAATCTGTGATTATTCTAAACCACAACATTATACTGAGGACGGTAAGAGTGAGCTCTTTGTCTTGACGAAAAACTGTCGTGGTTTCAAACCTAAAAAGGCGTGGAAGTTTATCAGATATGTAACGACAAGCTCGCACGCTACAATTCGAACTAAACTAGCTAGGTGCATGTGCCGCGTGCATTTGGCTCTAATCACTCGCTGCTTATTACGTTGATAAACTCGTTTTTGTTTATCCCTTTAAGCAATAATTCTAAACAACAAGACTGCAAAGTGCGAAAAATATACTTTTTAAAATTATACTTCGCTTAGATTTTAACATCTTTATATATATAAGTAATTCTTCTGTATGTCACTACTCATTGAACTCCTCCTACACGGCTGGACCGATTTTAATGAAATTTTTATGTGTTCAGGTGGATTCGAGAATGGTTTAGATTCACAAATTTTTTAAGATGTCGGCATTAAGTCAAGTGTACAGGACAACGTCTGTATGGTCCGCTAGCCAAATAATAGCCCATGTAATAAATTAAACTTGATTTTATTTTTAATCTGTCAAAATTACTATACATAAATGGCGCCAAACAAAATGTCTCCTTCGGGTCACTTTATTTATCGTCTGTGTTGCATATCATTGTTTTCATTTGCTATTTCGATGACATTATGACAACAAACTGTGGTATTACATTTGACGATTCCGCAAGCAAGCGAAAATAGGCAAACTTTGTTAATGGATCTGTGGAGTGTTGTTTACTAAGTTATCGATATCATTATTTGTCGATAAAATTTATCGCTAAGGGAAGGAAAGTAACATTAAAACAAATTCCAGCAAATATTAATATGTGTGTACAGTCTCATATTATGTTTCAAACCGTGCTTATGCAACATAATCCATAGTTAATATAATAAAGAGATTAAATTTATTGATTTAATTGCTTTTGTATGTAACGGTTAATCTCTGAAACTATTAAATAAATTCTGGAACATTCTGCACTTATTCAAAACGCGATCACTCTGATGT